TGAATTGATACATGAACACTGAGAAAACCAGGAAAGACGGGGAAAGAAGATATCGGTGTAGATCAGAATACTTCTATGAGCCAAGAGAGCCTTGGGGTAGAACCTTAAGGTACAGGTGGGATTTGGAAAAACACATAGGGAAAGGAAAGGTACTCTAGGCAGACAAGACAGCATGGACAAAGACCTGCCAGTCATCAGAAACACAGAACATAGTATGTTAGAGCCAGAAAGAGCTTTAGTCCAATAGTTCAACTCTACAGGGATGCTGTAAACATTCAATAAAAAAGCACATACTACTAAGCAGAGGACCTGGCATATCACACTCACTAAATTGTAGCTATTATTACCACTACTCAAAAATAATAACATCAAACACTTATTAAGTGCCTGCTTTATTCCAGGCACCAAGCTGAGTGAAGGGACTATGATGATGATGAGCAAGACAGAGTTGGACTCTGCTCTCATGTAGCATGTCTGGTGGGGGAGACAGTTAAAATAATGCTTGGTAGGGATGGGCTGGAGGAAGTACTGGGGAGCCGAAGAAACATAAAGTCGGGTCACACAATCAGTGGGCAGTAATAGAAAGCTCCCTGATTTTCAAAGTGTGGCTTGAGACACCCAAGGGGTTCTGACCTTCAAGGACAAGTCTCAAAGTGAGATTTTGTTTGAATAAAGGGTTTCATGACTAAATAAATGTTTAAAACTGGCCAATCTAGTCCAATCTCCTCTCTTAACAAGAATAAAACAGGGCCCCCAAAACATAAATTATGCACTTAAGGCAATAACTTAAGTTAGTTGTAGGCTAGGATACTTGCTTTGAACTTGGGCTGGAAACTCCTCACTAATCTGCATGATATCACAACATTTTGGCAGATGAACAAGTACTGAGAGTAGACACATCCGGAACTCACAGGCACTGGCCAGGGAGGCAGGTCCTGATTGGATGTTGAAGTGCTTTTTTACCTTAGATCCCAAGCCAGCTCTCAATGCCAAGATGATGCCTCCAATTCCTCTCACAGGTTGACCAGCTACCCCTTCAAGAAGAAACCACAGGCTCCAGGAGTAGGTTGGCTTGTGAGCCTCCAACCTGGTACCCATGCTTTATCATCCCTAACATCCTCAAGACCCCATGGTTTAGCAAGTTGAAAGAACTTAGCCAGTCATCACAGCCTGTTTAATACCTAGCCTGAGCTGGCTATACCCACCTACCATCTCCCTGACTGCCACTGGGCTTATCACTTCTCGTGACCAGGGGCTCAGGAGAATTGAGTAATCAGTAAGTTAAAGGACCTGTATAGAAAAAACAGTATTCCTTTAGTTAACCCCCACTTTGAACTTTACAGGAATGAAATGCTGCTTCACGTTTTGGAGATGAGACTTTTGTATATTAAGAAGGCGGTCGTTTACCTTGGTAAGATAAATCTGGTGTGAAAAATAGAACCAAGGTGCTCAGTATAGCATGGGCTAAGTTCAGGATAGCAGAGGCAGACCTGGGTTGGAATCTGCACTCCCTCCTCACAAACTGTGGAATTCTCCTCACTTATAAAATGCGGTTAACGCCAACTAATTCACAGAGCTGCTGTTAGTAATAAATGAGCTAATGTAGGTAAAAGGTCTTAAACAGGGACTGGTTTATGGTAAAGGCTCAATAAACAATAGCCTTTTCTACTGGTAGTTCTTTTCCTAAGCCCTCTTTTCTATCTACCTCTCAAAAACAGAGAAGCAGTAAGCAAAGCCTAAATTACCTTAACTACTAGAGAAAGTAATAACAAAAAAGACAAAAGAAGAGGAAAGGAACATGAATGAATTGATGGCTGCTGTTCCAGACTACTGACCATCTTATGGCATCTGACATGGGAAAACACAGGTCCAATATCCTGAGGAACAAACCAGAGCAAGTACAATCTTCCCAAAGTGACAAAAAGAGCACCTACTGCATCTTAGCTAGGCTATCCATTACCCTTTTATAATCTGGGCTCCACCAGTCTCTCTACCAAGCAGAAAGTGGTACAGGAAGGCAACTCTGATGCCAGGTGCAAATCATTGCATCTTTGTATATCCAACCTTTAATTTTTCAGCTGAAACCCATCTCCATCAAAAAGACTTCACTGACTCCTCCTAGCAGACTTGAGTGTTTCTTGTGCCCCACTAAATTTGTTACACAATTCCATGACAGCAATTATCCAGTACTGCAGTGGGCCATTTGCATGTCTCTTCTCTACACTGTAAATTGATAAAGATCCTGTCTTACTGATCTTTGAATTCCCAATGCATAATACACAGCAGACACCAATAATTACAAA